GCCGGATGGCAGCGGGGGCCGCGGGGCCGGGGGCTGGGGGCTGGGATGGGGGTCGGTGGCCGTGGGAGAGGGACACGGTGGCCGTGGGAGAGGGACACGGTGGCCGTGGGAGAGGGACACGGTGGCCGTGGCACCGCGCCGTGTTCCTGTAATGCCGTTAGTGGGGTTCTGGGAAAGGTCTGTGCAGGAAGGGGGGTCCTCTGCTACCCGAAGGGGTGAAGAGCTGCAGACGCCCCCCCCAAGGCCCCCCCGGCTGTTTGGCTGAGCTGCTGCTGCTGCTCGTCCCCAGGAGGCTGCAGGACTGTGGGTCTGGGGGCTGCAGGACTGTGGGTCTGGGGGCTGCAGGACTGGGGAGCTCCGGGATTAGGAGTTGAGGCCTGCGAGACAGGGGGCTGCAGGGCTGGGGGCTGCAGGGCCCTGGGGCTGCGGACTGGGGATTTTTGGGGCTGGGAGGTGCTGGGTTATGGGGCTGGGGGGCTTCAGGGCTCTGGGGGCTGTGGAACTGGGGTCTGGTGGGGGTCTTTGCGGGTCTTCCCGGGTGCCCGATTCCCCCGGTCCGACCAGGGGCCGGGGCTGTGCGAGCGCGACCCGAGCCCGCGGTGGCGGCCCCGGGGGGCGGCGAGGGGCACCGGCACTAGAGGGGGGTATTGCCTAAGCAATGAGGTGCTGCCGCTGCGCGCCGCCGCCGCCTCGGCTCCGGGGAGAAACCGCAGCATTTGGGCAGGATTTTGGCCCTCGGGGGGTTCCCGGCTGGTTTTCCAGGTGTCGGCTGCGTCGGTATCCAGGTGCCGTCCTGCACCATTCCCGCCCCCTTCGCGGAGGGGCTGTGGGTTAATTAATCTTTGGAAATTGCTTTGAGGGCGCTGCTGCGAGCGGGGGCTCTGGTGCCACCGGCCCCGATGGTCGAGGGCCAGCGGCCAGCGAACGCCACCGAGCAGAGGGGAGCCGCCCTCGCCCGTGCCAGCACGACTTCGGCGTGGGAAGGGTTTATCCACGGCTGAATTTCGGGGCTGGGTGTTTTAACGAGCATCGGATGAGGCAGCCCAACATGCCCGGTGCTGCTGGGGGAGGGTGTGAGCTGCCCCGGGCCAAGCGTGTCCGTGCGGGGCGGCTGCGGGAGGGGTTTGGGTGTTCCCGTGCTCCGGGTTCCCACCCTGAGCCGCGGTTTGGGGCTCTCCCCCTGTCCCACTGGAGGGGAGCCAGTGCCCGGGGTCCCGGGGGGGCCATGCAGGAGCTCTGGGTGCAGCCACATTTGGGGAATAATTGTGGGGGGTTGCAGTTTTGCACCTCTGTGGCTGCTTATTTGGTTTCCCGAATGAAACGGGAGCTTGGGGAACCTGGGGGGAGGGCTCCAGTGGCCTCTCCCGGCGGGCAAAGCCAGGGAGCTGGAGCTGTGCCACAGTCTGGCCACGCTGATGGATGTCCCCAGTGCTGCACCCCCAGCCCCGTGAGCCGGGGGGACCCTGAGGGGGGGGTCGGTGTCCGTGGGTGGGGTCGGTGCCCATGGATGCCACACAATGCCATGCTGGCTCTCTGCCAAGGCTCCCACTGCTGGGTCATCAGCACCACTCTGGTGCCACCGTACCGGGCGTCTGGATCCCACTGCCAGCCAGGATCCCCTCCCACGGGTCCTTCTGTCTCTCTCGGAAGCCCCGAGGGACCTCCCTGGGCCCCCTTTTTTCCTGTTGCAGCTCCATTCCCAGCAGCCTGGCTCTGCTCTGCGCCGGCGCTTCCCGGCCCTTTCCCGGCCCTTTCCTCACCTTTTTAGTGGGAAGGGTTTTTTTCCTTGTCGGTAGCGAATATTTTCCATAATTTCCCGGCCGATCCAATTAACGCTGAGGAAGGCGGGTGTGAATTATCCCTCCCTGCATCCAGCCTCGCCCCCTGCGCGGAGCTGGGGGCTGGAAATCGCAGGATTTGCAGTAATTAAGGCAAATAGTTGTTTTTGTGTGGTGAGAAAAACAACCCGGTGCTGGTGGAAAAGCCAGAAAAACCCTGGAAAAGGTTTTCCTTCCAGTTACCAGGATTGGGGAAGGAGAAGTCGTTCCATTCAAAGTGGGGCTGGGCCCCCCCGGGCAGGGACCTGTCGGGACTGATCCTGGGAGGGAGGGAACACGCTGGAGTGGGTGCGGGGCTGCTCCTGCCTGATCCCAATGGATCACCCCGTTTCCCAGGGAATTCGATCCGTGATCTCCTGCAGCTCTGGTGGTGCTGAATGGGCTGAGCTGGGATGCACTGGGTTGAGTGGGAATGGGCGGGGTCGAACTGGGATGAGCTGGGATGCACTGGGATGTGCTGAGTTGAGTGGGGCTGTCCTGGGAATGGCTGGCAGGTGAGTGCCCACTGGGGACCCGACACCCTGATCCGTGTCTGGCTCCTTCACCGGCTGCCAACAGCACCGTGGCCTTTGGATCGTCCCTGTTCCTCCCCCCCAGAACACGGATGGAATTGCTGGGGGTGGTGGCAGCTCCAGGTTTGAACTGGCTGTGGGTGCCCCCGGAGCTGCCCCCGGAGCTGCCCCCGGGGCTCCCCCCGCTGTCCCCATGCCGGGAGGGATCACGGCTGGGCCTCCCAGAGAGCCTGGAAAGGCTTTTAGTGGCTTGGCTGGAGAAATGGAAACAAATAAAGTTGACAGACAAGTGTCCGGGTTTATGGCAGCGTCCGCTGACAGGAGGGAGATTGGCTGTCGGGGGCTTGATGGAGACGGATCCTGATGGGAGCGGGATGAGGAGATGGATAACCTTGATGGAGTTGCTGCACGGGAGGACACTCCACCAGTGTTATTCCAAGATAATTTGGCTTTTATTTGTTTTCCTGTGGGGCGGGGGAGGGATGCAGAGCCCCACAGTCCGTGGAGTTTTTTCCAAATAGATTTGCTAAATAAATAATGAGGAGGGTCCATATTTTATTTATATCCCACCACTCCGTGCGGTGCTGGAGGTGTTTTACACTGGGCCTCTCCCTCCCTTTTAGCACAGACAAACCCCAAAGAACACATCAGATGGAGACGGATTTACAGGGATATTTGGATGCTGAGCAGGAGGACGGGCAGAGGGATGTGCTGGAGCTGCTCCTCCCGATGGACTTAATGGGCAGCTTGGTGCTGTTGTGAATCCGACTGGAAGCCTCTTTGCATCTGCAGGCACCTGAGGAGCTCTGGGGGGGGGTGGCTTTTGCTCAGCAGTGCTTGGGGGGAACCTGGACGCCCAGGGAGATGTGCATGCCAGAACACCCAGGGGGACATTTCGGTGTCTGTGGGGAGGAGGGTCCAGAATCCACCCATATCTGCTTGTCCTTCTGCAGCAGTCTCTGGAACTTGGGGGAACTGGGGGGGTCTGGGAAAGGAAGGGATCCTGTCTGGTGAGCACCAGCCCCCCCTGACAGCCTGAAAGGGTGTTCTGTCTCAGAGATGTTGCTGCAGGGCCATGGGGTGTCCCGGCTCAGGGATCTGGTTCCAGAGCTGTGGCTGGGTGGCACATCTATGACCAAAAATCCCACTGGATTTTCCCTGTTGTCCCTGAGCTCTGTCCTCCCTGGAGCTGGACAAAGCCCTACCAGCAGCTCCAGGGCTCTGCAGGCCACCAGTTCTGTGTTCTTCCCATCAGCGTTTTCCAAGATTTTGACAAAGCAAAGTTTAATTTATTTATCCCTGGATCGGAGGTGAAAAAATGTTGCTGCGGGCGGGGTGTGCAGCCGTCTGTCCGTCTGCCTGCCCTCAGGGGTCGCAGGACACATCCCTGTCCCTGTCCCCTCCGGTGCGAGCCCCTGGCTGCCCCCTGCTCAACCGCCCACCCGGGCACCCCAACCCCCCCCGTCAGCCTCAAGCTAAAGGACCCCCAAACCTCTCCCTGCTCCCAAAGCCCACGTGACGCTTCCAAACGCCCCCCACTTCGCCGGTGTGACCCCCCCCTTTGCAGAGACCCCCTCCCGCGCAGGTATGACCCACCCTGGCCAGTGTGACCCCCCTCCCCTTTCCAAAGCCGGTCCGTGTGACCCCCCCCGTCGGCGTGACCCCCCCGATCGGTGTGACCCCCCCCCGATCGGTGTGACTCGCCTCTGTCGGTGTGACCCGCCTCTGTCGGTGTGACCTCCCCTGCCGGTGTCGGTCGTGACTACCGGCTGACCCCCCGATCCATGTGACCCCACGATCGATGTGACCCCCCCCGATCGATGTGACCCCCCCGATCGATGTGACCCCCCCGATCCATGTGACCCCCCCGATCGATGTGACCCCCCCGATCGATGTGACCCCCCCCGGTCCGTGTGACCCCCCCGGTCCGTGTGACCCCCCCGATCCATGTGACCCCCCCGATCCATGTGACCCCCCCCATCCATGTGACCCCCCCGATCCATGTGACCCCCCCCGTTCCCGGGGCGTGTCCGCTCGGGGCGCGCGCGCGGCCGCCGGTGGCAACAATGTGTCAGGGGCGGTGGGAGGGGGCGTGGCCGGCGCGCGGCGGGGGCGGGCCCGGGGGCGGGGCGCGGCGCGGGGGGCGGTGCCGGGCGCGGGGGCGGCGCCGGGCGGGGGGCGCGGGCGGCGGGCGCAGCATGGCGCGGCGGCACTGAGCGAGCGGCGGCCTCCCGGCCCGGCCTTTGTCTCTCCGGTGTCCCCGGGGCGGAGCGGCCCGCGGCGGGGCCCGGGGCCGAGCCCGCAGGTGCGGCGGCGGCAGCACCGGGGGGCTCGCTGCCGGGCGGCGGCGGCGGCGGCGGCGGCGGCGCCGCGGGGCTTCGGAGGAACTTGGCCGAAGTTGGGCGCGGCGGGGGGGGCGGGCGGGGGGAAGGTTCCCGGTGCCGGGGCGATCCCCGGGGCGCCGCGGGAACCGGCCGGTCCCCGCCGCCCGCGCGCGGGATGCGGCTGCCCCGGCGCCGCCGCACCGCGGCCGCCCCCGAGTCCCCCCGCTGACGGCGCCCGGGGCCGCGGGCGATGGTGAGGGCTGGGAGCCCGCCCGCCGCCGCCCGCCGCCCGCCCGCCGCCCCCGGCCGGCCCCAGGGCCCCGCCGCCCCGTGAAGCGGCCGGAGCCGCGCCCGCCGCCCGCCGGGACGATGGTGCGCTGCGGGGCGGCCGCGCTGCTCGCCGCGCTCCTCGGCGTCTGCGTCTGGACCGACGAGACCGGGAAAGTTATCTCGGACCGCTTCGCCGTCTACTGGAACCGGAGCAACCCCAGGTGAGGCGGAGGGGGGCGGCGGGGGCGGTCGCGGCGCCCGAGTTCCAGTCGGTGTTTCCCCCCCGCACACACCCGGTGACAGCGGCCGCCGCCGCCCGTGGCGGGTCGGGTCCCGCTCCGACCCCCGGTGGGCTCCGGTGAACGGGCTGGGCGGCCCCGGGGAGGGGGGGGCGGTCTCCGGGGGGGTCCCTCTCCCGAAAGTTCCCGCGGGGCCCCGGGCGGGCCGTCCCCGGGGGCTGCGGCAGCGCCCGGAGCATCGCGGGGCGCGTTCCCGGGGGGAGCGGGCGGCGGGCGCTGCGGATCGGCCCCCCCGGCCCCTCCGCGCCCAACTTCGGGGAAGTTCAAGTTCCTCCCCCCGCCCCCCCCCCGTCCCTCTCCCAGGATGAAGATTCTGCGAAAAAAAACCCCAACGAAATCTACCCAAAGCGGCGGGTGCGGCCGCGGGGGGGTCGGAAAAAACGATTCTGGGGGGGAAACGGCAAAATGGGCCTGGGGGGAGGCCTGTGGGGCTCGAGGGGGGCTGAGGGTGTGGGACTGGGGGTGCTCGGCTCCACTGCTCCCGGGTCATTCCCATCCTGGAAGTGCAATCTCCACAGTTGGCTTCGTTTCCCTGCTCCAGTTTGGAATTATAATTTTTCTGTGTATTCTTTCTCCCCCAGCGTTTTTTTTGGGGGTGAGAGTTTTGTTTTCTGTCGTATTTCTTTGTTCATAATACTGAGGAACCAAAAACTGCTGGCAAGTTGGAAGTGGGAGGCATTCTACTCTGGGAATGCTCAGGTGGTTGGGACCCCCAGGACCTTCCACCCACCCTGCAGGGACACCCCACGGGGTCTGAATGGGCTCATTTGCGGGGACACTTATAAAAGACAAAAAAAATTAAGAACCAGCCACTGAACCCCCATTTTTCCCCCAGTTCCTCAAAGTTCTCCCAGCCCTGGCAGCGTCCCTGGCAGCAGTGGGGGATGAGCTCTGTGGGTGCTCAGTGGGTGCCGCTGCCCCCAAGGCCTCCAGCTTTTGGGCTGCCCCGTTTTCTGGGTCAAACGGGGGGTTCTTTGTCCCCCTCTGTCCCTGCATGAGGAGAGGCCACGGTGTGGCCTGGTCCTCGTTCCCAGCAAGGCGAGGTGGCTCCTCTGGCTCATCCCCTGCTGCGGTGGGAGCTCCGGGAGGGGACCCTCGGTGGCACCTTCTCTCCCTCGATGGCACCAGTGCTGTCGATAAAGTTCCCGGCTGTGTTTCGGTGCCTGGAGCTGGTGGGACACACATGGGGCCGAGGACCCTCACCAGCACCGGTGTCCACCCAGCCTCCACACGTCCCCCTGGGGGGACCCACTCGTGCCCCTCACGCCGCCCCGAAATCGGGGCGAGCCCGTCCCTTTGTGCCGTGGCGGCGGTGCCTCTGCCACGGGCCGCCCGTGGTGCATATGGATTTTATTATCTCCCTCACATTTTTGTGGGGGATTGTAAGAGCCAGGGAATTATATATAATTTTTTTTTTTTTTTTTTTTTTTTTGCCCATTGCGAAGTTTTTGGTTTCGGCTCCTGGTGCTCCCCAGCTCCCACACTTTGGGCTCTTTTCTTTTGTTCTCCTAAATGCCAAACGTGTGCAAGGGCCCCCCCTGGTCAAACTCCCTGGGACGAGGGTGGTTGGGGCGGTGGCTGGGATTTGGCACCCAAGGGTGCCTGTGGCTGGGATTTGGCACCCAGAGGTGCCTGCAGTTGGGATTTGGCACCCAGAGGTTCCTCTGGCTGGGATGTGGCACCCAAGGGTTCCCCTGTGGTGTCGACAGCCAAAAGTAGCCCCTTGGTCGTTGGGTACCGGGCGTCCCGGGACCCGGCAGTGGCGATGGCGTCGGCTCCGTCCCCTTCGCCCCCTCGGAGGCGCCGCCGGGAATTTATCCTCAGAAATACATGGTGGATCATTATTCCATACATATATATATATATATAGTATTATTTTTGAAATCCGCTATTGGCAGGGAAAATATTTTCGAGGGGGGGAAGTAAAATGGAGCGGAGGAAGCGCGAGGGGCTGGGAGGGAAGAGCAGACAATGGCTGGTGGGTTCAGCAGCACGTCCGCAGCGCCTGGCTCCGGGATGTGACCCAAATTCCCCCAATGTGGGAGCGCCCCGTGTCGCCAGCGCTCCCCGCCCGCGCCTTCGGCTCTCGGAATTCGAGGCAATTTATTAGGGGGTTGCAAAGATTGAAATTGCCATTGAGTTTCCTGCTTATTCCCTTTTTCGAACCCAGCGGTGGGTTTATTTTGTCTCTGGAGTTACTACAGGGCTGTCTCATTCTTAAAAATGAAGAAAAACATATTTATGATTTTTCTGGTCCCTCGTTTTCTTTCTTTCCCTACCCTCTCACCCCTCATTTAATAAAGGGGAAATCAAAAGGGATTTAAAAAAAAAAAGGGGGAAAAAACCCAAGGTTAAAATGCCCTGTTTGAACCCACAGACCTGCTCTGCCGCTAAATATTTTTCCTCAGGTTTATACAGCAATCTATATTTTATAAAAGACAGGAATAAATCTCATGGTCGATATGATTTGCCCAGATTAGAATAATTCTATATTTCATAATTGGGGCTAAATTAAAAATAAGTGGTACCTCGGGATGCTGCAATTTCCCTGTTCTGGGGAGAGATTTAACCACTCGCTGTGGATTTACAGGTTTATTTTTATTTTTAAACGATTTTGCACGGACGCGTCGGGAAGAGGTTTGGCTGGCTGGAACTCCTGGGTTATCTGGGAGAAAACGAAGGAGGGCGAACGTAGAATTATATAACAACGGGCTGTTTCGCTGCCGTGTGGAACTGTGGATTTTTGCTCCGTGGCACGTTCGGGGGCTGCCGATGGTCGGTCTCCGGGTGTGGATCTGTTGGCCGTGGCCGGGCCGGTCGTTGGTGCCGGCGCGGTGTGTCCGGGGCGGGACTGTGGGGCCGGACCTGGCACCGTGGGCAGGGGTCTGGCACCGTGGGCAGGGGTCTGGCACCGTGGGCAGGTGTCCATCACGGTGGGCAGGGGTCCGGCACGGCAGGCAGGGCTCTTCCCGCCGTCACTCCGTGTTTTCCGGCTGGTGGTGCGGGAGCCGCTCGCCCGTAGGATTCCGGGGTGGACTTGCCTTGGGATCCAACGAGGCGCAGAGGGTCGAGCCCGGTGTCCCGGAGCACCCACCATCGCCCAGTGGGTTGGGGTCTCCGGTTTTGGCCCCCCTGGCCCCCCGTGCCGCAGCAGGTTTAGGATGGGTCTCGGTGTCCTACATCCCATCGTGCGACAAAAAGGCAGGGATCTGGGAAAACCTCTGCACTACGGGGGAAAGGTCTGTGGGAAGGAGAGACCTGTCCTCAGAGGGTCCCCAGTCCTGGGATCCTGACCCACGGCCCTCGGGCTGTTCTGGAAACCCCTGGAAGGCCAAGGAAGGATGGAGGGTTTGGGATTTGTCCCCGTCCCCTGCGCTGCCGACAGCCGGGTGACGGGCAGGGAATCGTCATTCCCGAGTGCCGGTCGGTGTTCCTGCAGCCATCGCTGCCGTGTGCCTGTACCCACAGCGGGAGTGTGCAAAGTGCCGGGGCTTTTCCTTCCCTCTGTGTGGCACAGGTCCCTGTGTCCGGGCGGGATCGTGCCCGTGGCCTGGTTTAATGCCGAGGTCACGGCGCTGCCTCCGAACGGTTCTTTGCTGATTTCTGTATTATTTTTCGGTGTGGTTTGTGAGCACAGCTGGGATTTCTGTTCTGCTCCTCTGCACTCCCCAATCCCGGGATCGGGAACCGGAGAAATGGTTTCTAGCAGGGGGATTTGCAGAGCCAGGTGATGCTCAGGGCCAGCGGTGGTGCCAGAACAGGACTTTGGGGAGCCAGGGGCCCAGGCCACAGTGGGGGTGGGGTGGTTTGGATGGTGCTCCCCATGTCATCAGATTTTGTGCCCCTTTTTTCCTGCGTTCCCATCTCCCGGAGCCGCAGCCCCGGTTGCTGCTGCTTTGTCCGAGAGCCCGGAGCGCGGCGGCCGCGGCCGGGGGAGATGTGCCCGTGGCCATGACCCCCTGACCACCCAGGCCAGAGCCAGCTCGCCCACCCGTGTGTCACGAGGGGCTGTGGCCAGGCCGAGGGCGGCTGCATGTGCCACCTGTCCGTTGAGGGAGCCCAGACGATGCCAGGGTGTTTTCTGCGGGGGAATTTGGAGCTGGCGAGCGGTGGCCGAGTGGGAGGGCTCGGCTCAGGGGGAGCCCACCCGTGTCTCTGTGCTGGGGCTCTTTGGGTCAGCCCTGAAGTGGAGCTGGATCCCAAAACCTCCATGTGCCAAATCTGGCTGGGGCCTTTGTGGTCACCCCCATCCCTCTGTGTTCCCCATCCCTGTGTGTCCCTCCCCACTCCCATGGGCATCACACCGGGGTCTGCACCAGCCTCTGGAAGAAACACGCCCTGTTCCCCCTTTGGAGCGATTTTAGTGGGAATTTTATCCCTGGCACTCGGGTCGTTCCCGTGTCCCCTCTGGAGGTGCCGGGGCGGTGCTGGGGGTCGGGGTGTGCCGGCGCTCGGCCGCATCCTGCGCAATTCCTGCTCTTTTAGTTTTCCTCGCTCCGCTCTCCCTTTGTGCCGAGATCACTCCCAGCCCTTCCCACCCCTCTTTTCCAGCCCGTTAAGCCGTGTTAGCTATTCCTCACCAGCCCAGGGCTGCGGCGAGTGGTTAATGGAGAGCAGACACCGCCGGGCCGGCGTCGCTGACAGGATTCTCTCTCCGTGCCCGTCTCCGTCTCCGCCTGTCCCTTTCCAGGGACCGCAATTACATTCCCTGCTGGTTGCACATTTGGTATCCAAATGCCGGCCATGCGCCGCATCCTAATGCGAGGATGGGCTGGGGGCGAGCGGAGCTGCCGCAGGGTCGGACGCTCCCCGGGACCCCCCGTGTGTCCCGGGGTGTCCCGCTGGGGGGGACACACAGAGGGTGGGGAATGGGAACGGTCCAGGGGGTGAGAGATGCCCTCGGGTCCCCTGGAAAGCTTCAA